GTTTACTCAAAACCTATGGTATGACAGTCCAAGGATTTTGCATGAATTACAGCCAGTGTATCCTGAGTTAGGGGTAAGGTCTAGTGACCAACTTATTACCACTGTGATCAATTTAAACCTGGTTAATAAGTCTGAAACCTTCTATCTGACTTTATTACGTCACTGTTAAAAATGGGAAAAACTTCTTCGAATTACGGCTTATTGCCTTCACTTTGCCTTCCGGTATCTTCGTAAGGTCAAGCAAAAATCTTTGGAACCTGTGTCCTATTCAAATCTTTTAGTTGAAGCGAATACTAAGACCCCTTTACAGGCTAGTTTCTAAAGGGATACATCATAGTCTTAATTTGCCTTGCAACTAGGGCTATTCATCTCGAGTTGGTGGAAGATTATACGTCTGAGGCATTAATTGCAGTGTTCCATAGGTTTGTATCCAGGCGTGGGCATTGTACAGATCTTTACAGCGATCAAGGTTCTAATTTCATTGGAGCTGACGCTGAGCTCAGAAAAATATGGCATAATAGCCTTAATCATTCACCATTTATTCAAGGGTTAAATAATCTAGGTACTAGTTGGCATTTTAACCCTTCTTCCGTCCCGCGTTTTGGTGGTATTTGGGAAGTGGCGGTGAAGTCTGCGAAATCCCATCTGAAGCATGTAGTCAGGAAGCAAATTCTAACCATTGTTGAGTTTTCCACTCTCTTGTGTCGGATTGAGGCTTGCCTTAATTTCAGACCACTAGTTCGTATTTCTGATGATCCTGAGGATTCAAACCCTTTAACTCCTGCACACTTCCTTATGATGAGGGCTTCATATCGTGTACCAGAACCTGATTTTAGATCAGAGAAGATACCACCTCTTAAGGGATGGAAGCTAATTTCTCAAACGTTGCAAGCCTTTTGGAAAAGATGGTTGTCGGAATACCTTACCACTCTGCAGTCTAGGTCAAAGTGGTTAACCCTCCAAAGATCTTTACAGGTTGGTGTCCTTGTTCTAATAAAAAATGAGAACTCACCACCTGAAAAATGGCCTATAGGACGCGCAGTTGGGGTGTACAGTGACGCCGAGTTCCTAGTCAGAGCTGCTAAAGTTAAAACGGCCAGCTCATGTTTGGATGGGTCAATTCACAGATTAATTTTATGACGTACTTACATACATTTATTACAATTAATTGAACAAACATTTATATAAAGGAATCAAATTATTAGCATTTGGATTTTAAGTTTGTTCTCGTTCTCTTGCGTTCATCGAAACTTAGTTTAAATCAATTTGATTCAATTTCGTCCAAAAAACTTAAACCCAGAATTAATCATAAGACTTTGTAACTGAATATGCGGTCTACTTTTAACACATTATTTTATTTCTTATTTTTAATGTTAAACTATTAGATTGTTTTCCATCAATCGGAGGAGAACGAAGTTTTATCAATTAATTCTTATGTATTATTTATATTATAATGTTTAATTGAACTGTTGTGTGTTGAACTACACATATCAATCGGAGGAATTTGTTAGAAATTGAGCAACTAAATTAGCTTAAGATTCACTTATACTATGTATGATAGAAGACTCTAAATAGTTAGCCAATCATAGGCGTACACGAGTCTCGTCAACGCACCAATCAGTGAGCTTCATGTACACTCACTCTGTGTCATCCACTGCCGCTGCGCGGCAGTCCGCCACTCACGCTGGAGCACACCGGGTCGTAAATCTGCTGTCTCCACTTACACTTATATAGCGAGTATTACTTCTCAGTTCAAGTTACTTAAGTACTAGTAAACAGTTTATTTATTGCACTACCTTAGGTATAAACAATTCAGTGATTTCTACTTATAGATACATAGAGATATTTAGTGACAATAAATGATATGATTTTGTTAATCATCTGTGAAGTGTGTGCTAAATTATTTACACTTGGCCATATCTCTATTATGCTCCTCTCCTACTAAATCCGGCGGCTATTATCAATCATACAGTCCACAAGAGCATTGATCTTAAACACCTAAAATTTTTTACTGTTGGTTGGCGATGGGACATTGAAAGATACACAAGCTTAAAATGTATACGGAAATCGATAGCACAGATAGTCGCAACACTGAGGAATGAGATGAAATCGTTCTACCAGAATTTGATCCTTCTACAAGAATGAATTTTCTAAATCTATCCAGTTTACCACCATGTTAATTACGTTTGAGAAAAAATTGCATAATAACGCTTATTAGAAATATTAGTATAGATGAAGGCTTGTGCAATGGTACGAGATTTAGAAAAATTAATTTTTTAATTACTTATTAAAATGTCAAATTCCTAATTAACGACCAAGTATTTCTGCTTCGTATAACATTTTACTGTAGAAATGAATACCCTTTTGCTTCCAAAAAAAGACAATTCCCTGTCAGTTTGGCATTTGCAATGACAATCAATACATCTAAAGCTCAGACTTTTATTAATATCGTCATTGATTTTCGAAGAGACGTTTTCAATCATGGTCAGTTATGTGTAGTGAAGTTTAGAGTTTTATTAGCGAATTCTTTAAAAACTTACATTGAAAATCATAAAAGAGAAAATTTCAAAGTCAAAAATCATGTTTACAAAGGGCTATATTTGTAGAATAATTTTTATTTAGTCATGCATTAACAGATTTCTAGCATGGACTACGATTAGTATAATTTTTTTATGAACTAAATAAAACTTAATGTTAGAATTTACTACATACTTGTAATATAATATTATTCAAGAACAATTAATAGGAAAATCTTACACGTACTTACCAGCATTAAATATGTTTAACTTTATTCAACAAGTTTATTCATCTATCACCTAATTAGTACACATTACTATTGTTATAAATAGCCCCTAAACTCAGAAGCTTGCTAAATTTTAATAAAAATTGGTGTGTGTGTGTGCAAATCTATTTGTACTGTATTATTCGAATATATACTAATGAACATGCGTAGTTAAATGTTTCGACGATATTTATATAAAATTTCACCTAAGATACAACTTGATGTTTTTAGGTGTGATTATTTTCAAATTTTGTTCAAATTAACACAGGTGTTATCATAAGTCAAGTATAAAGTAAGTTTTTATAAAATAATTTAATTCTGCTTTTACTAACTTTCATTTGAACAGTTTCAGTACGAACTGCCATCATCTATTTGAAATTCTAGAACAATTACTTTTATGAATTGAGCTTGACATAGTTTATGTCACAATTTATTATTAACCTATTTGTTGTACATATAGACTGTAAAATAATTAAAAATTATGTTAAATGAAACCTTTTTGGATATTTAGAAATAATAAATATAGAAGTATAAAGTAAAGTTAACCAAGCGAGAAGATGACCTCTAGTCAATAGAAATATACCAAAAAACACCTTGCGGAACAACGTATTTTTAGTAAATATGTTCGTCATTTTTGAGAAAAAAAAATCACTTTTATATTTTGAAATATCCTTATAAACTTTTCAATGATTTGGTTCATCGTAATTTGGATTCAAATACTAAAATACGAAAATAAGGTACTATTGTAACTATTTATAAAGAAATCATAAAGATTAGAATCATCTCTAATAGAAGAATTTGTATAAAAATTATTTGCGAAGGACTGTTCGAAGTATAATTATAAGATCAAATACAAACAAAAAAGATTATAAGTTAAGTATTTTTCTTAATATTTGAAAATCAAAATAAATGATTTTCAAAAAATTGATAGATTTAGAAATTTATACTTCCGTGATAAATTAACAACTCCTTATCTTGTTTACGTTACATAAGTTCAAGTGTGTTTGCCTTAGCAATGTCATTTAATTTATTATTTCTTTCTAGAATTTGTGAGAAAAAATTTTGTACCTTAAATACGCTTTTTCATTAACATGCCAAACCATCTACATAATACCACTTTATAACACATTTTCTACTCAGAAAATGATGATTTTATTTTTTCCTGGGTTTTCAGCAACATCAAAAGATATTGTAAGAAGGATAATCATGGTTTGTCATCATATCAAATGTAACAGTTTTATGGTTCATTAGGTCACTAGAGCACAAAGTACAAACATAAGTGCCCGAAGGGTGCCGATCTTGTATGCTTGTAGCCGAGTCACGTACATTGTTTGTTTTACCCAGGGGATTAAATACAATTTTGCATCCGTGGGCATACTTTGCACCCAGTAAATCACTCTGGGCCTTAGGGCAGAAAAGTACTTTAGGACGAGAGGGCACAAAAAACTGATCTTACATGGTCAGAAAATGTTTTCGTCTTTTTTTTTTATTTCATCATTACTTTGATAATATTTTTAATATAATCTCGTAGTTGCCAAAAAAAAAAATATTTTTATTTCACAACTTTTTTAATTAAAACTATAAAAAAACAATTAAAACTTTGATAATTATGCATGTTTCAAATAATTTGTTTTTTTGTTTTTCCGTGATTTTCTATAATTTAGACAATTTAGTCCCGTAAGTTTTGTATCTTTCAAAAGTTAGCAAAATTTGATAGTATCAATCGATTAAGTGGCTCAATATTCATTGTAATACGTGTTTACGTATAAAAAATTCTGTGATATTTACTTATTTTATAAAGGGAAAAAAATTTGAACGTATTTTTTACGTGTAAAATCGATTTCAAACTTGAAATGTTTTGATGCACGTAAATAATATATTGAGAGTGTCTAAGAAATATCCACACATTATTTCCAAAGTGCATAAAAGTGATTTTACTATATCGGGCATTTTTATGAGTTAGCTGAGCCCACGGTAGGAAAAAAATAGTGTTCAATACACAAGTGCCATCCATTAGGGGCTACCTTACGGTAGCCCAAAATGCACAAATAGTCGTAGAGGTGACGGCACTTTTCTGACAAAAATTACTATTTCACTCAGAACTTATAAAACAAAAACAAAAACAAAAACAAACAAAAAATTAAGAACCAAACTAGTGAGCATACATGCGTAAGCATGTTCGTCTATACACTTACATTAGTAAAAAATTTTATCATACCATTTTCTGCTAAACACATATCAAAATAACGGATTGCTGCCTTAGTTAATTTCAATATTACTTCAACTTCTGTCGAATATCCATCTTTTGATAATTCAAGATTACTTAAAATTTCTACTATATCGCTCGCTAAATCAAAGTCGTTTGTTTTATTAAGATACTTTGTTATATGTAATAGATTTGCTGTTACAGCTTGCGAAATAAACTTCGATTCCATGCATGGTACTAAGCCAGAATTTTCCCACCTGAAAATTTAAGAAAATGTTAAATTTATGTATTTAAAGATTAGAGATTAATTTAAACATGTGGAAATAAAATCATGGGAATAAATAAGTTATGGCGTATAGAAAATAAAAACAAATAAAAATGCTTAACTTTTCCAATGTATGTATTACAATAACACGCAAATGTATATTAATGGTTTTTTTTCAATTATAAGCATTTAGAATTAACTTAATTTGGAAAAAAATAACGATAGTAGATCCAACATAGCTTTTACAGTGGAACAAAGTAGATCCAACCAGGTTCGAAAAACTACGGCATTTTTCGGAAATACGGAAAGCAATGTTTTATTAGGGAAGTGAGAAAGAGGCAAATGAAAACAAAATATAAAGTTTCAGCTTTCTATCTTCAATGAAAAAAATTTATGTTTTTTTATAGTTTAGTATGTGCGTGTGATGGCCAATTTACAGGCTTATACAAGTATTCAAAAGACAGTTACAATTTTTTACCTATTGTTTACTACACATTAAAAACAAAAATTTGTTAAAAATTATTAAAATTAATGCATAAATACTATTATCTATATTTTTATATACTTATACACGAGTCATTCTACGAAAACTGGCATATTTTAATAACCGGAATGTACAAATGGATATTTAGTTTTATGAAAATGTGTTTCGTATATCCATAACCAAAATAAGCTAACAGTTTTTAGGCCTTGCTGAATGTGCACGAGAAAACTTTTGACGACGTTTTTCTTACTTCACTGAAGATAAATAGGAGCTCTTACACAATTTCATTATAACTAAGATAAAAAAGCTCTCCATGCAAGTTTGTACCTTGTTCTCACATTTTTATTGTATACTTATTTATAAAATTTGTAAAAGTTACCATCCAAGTCAATAATCTAACATTAAACGAAGAAACAAAACATTAGAGAATAGCGTTACCGACTCTCAGCTACAGAGAAAGCGTTACCAGCTCTTGAAAAATCGTCAAAAACATCGAGATTGTGATGCAACAAACGAAAACTAAACTTTTCCTTTACATCATATACAAAACAACTTGATTTAAAGCCACCACCTTACCACTTGATTGTCTAAATCGTTACATGACATATTATAGCGTTCTGGGCTCGTAGTTTTTTATTTTGGGAGGACAGAATTTAGAAATTCAAAAGTCTGTACTATTCTTTAACTGTAGCACTAGCAAACAGTGAAAAATCATACATCTTTGACTTTCGCAGAATTTAGAAGGTTCAAATTATAACGATTGGATATAATAACGCGCGTTAGTATTTTCCGTTCAAATTTTTAATTTATTCGATTTCGATCCCGTAACCTAAATATATGACAGACAGTGTTTTTGGTTTTCTTAAATGTGTAAAAATGTTATTTGTGCTAATAACTTTGAAATACTATATCCTACAAAAAATTAAAAAATTCATACTTTCATCCCAGATTTCATTGAAACTGCAAATTTTTAAGTGAGGCACGAGCCTGTAACGCTTACTGAGCCGATACTTAAGCCATACTTTTTTATGATTTAAATTCTGTTATATCTTTAGCAAAAATACGCCCTTAATTATCATTGATTTTTTTAAATTCTCATCTTCTTCCACGGTAACGTAATTGACTGGAACTTGGAATAGACCGTTTTTGGTAAAATGGCTGATATACATATATATGTACTTGATTAAACATACACCAAAAGAATTAATGCAAGTCAAGAATAAACAGTTTTGTATACAAAGTGTGGTAAAAAATAAGTAAAAATTATAACGATCTATAAATACTTGTATAAGCCACTGAATTGACCATCACGCGAATAATACTAAACTTCAAACGAGCATATGCTTATTTTCATTAAAGATAGAAAGCTGAAACTTTACAGAAAACTTTCTTTTGTGTCGTATTTCAGTATTCAAGTAGTATTTATGAAAACTTTAAAGCTTTGTCACTTATTTTTTTTTAAAGATTGTAATTACTCGCGATATCGAACATTAAAAATTAAAAAAATTTCCACGAAAATAAGACAATTTGCCACATAATAAATGTTTGTAAAATTTCAGATTAGGTCTTTTTTTATGTACATACTTTAAAGAATGAGTGCATGAAATTTAAAAAAGAAGTTTAAAAAACTACCCAAGTAATGGTGAGTTCAATGTGAAAAAACATGAAAAAATGTTTCTTTTGAATTTTTATTAAGAAACCTAAGGAACCACTCAAATTAGCCACTAGGACTATCATGGTCACTTATTGCTATTTTCAAGCTACTTTTTGGGGATGTTCCGCTCATTTAGAAAAATTACGGGCTGAGCTTTTAGAGAAATACAAAGAATAATCTGCTTAATTCAAATGGAGCCGGTAAAAATCACGTGAAAAGAAAGATCTGCCTTCGACTTCTCTAAATTTTCAGGTGAACTTCAGTTTTCATTCCAGAGGTCCCCATTTTGAAGTGAGCAATCTATCCTGTAATATATTTATGAAAATTTCTCAAAGTTATTTTTCAAAGTGAGCATTCCTTGTTTTCTTCCAACTGTGGTCTACGTGCTGTCCGTGGGTCAAACTATACTACAATATACTTACATAAAGGCTGCTTCATTGTATGTAGTACCTAATGATTTATATACATACTAGTGAGCATACATGCGTAAGCATGTTCGTCTATACACTTACATTAGTAAAAAATTTTATCATACCATTTTCTGCTAAACACAAATTAACGACCAAGTATTTCTGCTTCGTATAACATTTTACTGTAGAAATGAATACCCTTTTGCTTCCAAAAAAAGACAATTCCCTGTCAGTTTGGCATTTGCAATGACAATCAATACATCTAAAGCTCAGACTTTTATTAATATCGTCATTGATTTTCGAAGAGACGTTTTCAATCATGGTCAGTTATGTGTAGTGAAGTTTAGAGTTTTATTAGCGAATTCTTTAAAAACTTACATTGAAAATCATAAAAGAGAAAATTTCAAAGTCAAAAATCATGTTTACAAAGGGCTATATTTGTAGAATAATTTTTATTTAGTCATGCATTAACAGATTTCTAGCATGGACTACGATTAGTATAATTTTTTTATGAACTAAATAAAACTTAATGTTAGAATTTACTACATACTTGTAATATAATATTATTCAAGAACAATTAATAGGAAAATCTTACACGTACTTACCAGCATTAAATATGTTTAACTTTATTCAACAAGTTTATTCATCTATCACCTAATTAGTACACATTACTATTGTTATAAATAGCCCCTAAACTCAGAAGCTTGCTAAATTTTAATAAAAATTGGTGTGTGTGTATGNTATTTCAATTAATGTTGTTTATACTGTACTATAATAATGTTGTGATAGTTTCCACAATTTTATTTTAATTTTTTTAAAAAGGCAATGCGCCAATATGGTATCTTAAAAGAAAAATCTTATTTTACGATAAAGTGGTCGAGGAATTTACCTGTTCGAAAAAGGAGTGGTAAAGAAGCAACAAAGGGGTGGTATACAGGTGGCAAAGGGGCAGTGAAGGGTGGGAATGGATAGAAGCAGTAAAGGGCGGCCAAAAATATAAATTTAGTAACGTAAAATCAAGCTTAACAAGACAATTATTCCCAGGGCGGCAAAGGGTAGACAGGGTTTTTACTGTGCTCGGAAATATCCAAGAAAAGAAGCTTCAAATAAAAAAATAATCCTAATCAGTTTTACTAAATTAGAGATTAATGAATAATTTGTGAAGAGGCTTCAATAATTGTATGTTCTCTTAGTAGATAAGATAAACCCGTGTATGGTGTGCACGTTATGATTATTTATACACGCTTTATTAGTGACTTTGCACTTAACACGTAATTCATTGACTTTAATGACTGGCAAGTCAGAACTGTGGATAAAGTTATCATAGAAAGCTTGGTTAGTAAAACCTAATGCCTGCCTAAAAAACATTGTGGTTTAAAATCATTAGTGTGACTACACGTTATTAAGCTTTAGAGCGTATAATTATTCAGTTGATTAACGATAATTGTACCTTCAGACAGCAATACTCTAACCATAATTTATTCAATATCATTAATTAAAGTTATACTTCTTATAGGAGCATCATGCGCGAGGGTAAATCAACGATTTCAGATTTTGGCCTTGAGAAAAAGTGACGAAAGTGGATTTTGCTTTATTCTTCCCCTTAACCTCGTCTCCCGTAACGTACTTTCGGTTTCCTCTAAAGTTTCCAAAGAGATTTGAACTCTGGAATTCCTGCATGTTGACCGAGGTCCTTACCAACTCTGCTATGAGCGTGCCCGACACAGAAAACTCGATTACTTCATTTTATCGTACAGTTCGTTGCTTATTTTTAGTGTATATTTTATTTACTGTGTATTAATTCATTTGGTTAAATCATACATTCAATAAATAGACCATTTATTCAATAAAATGTATCTTTTAGGTAGATGGTAAATTACAAAATTAGTATGGATTAGCAGAGCAGCATTCATATTATGTAATAATAAACATTTATTTACTTATCATCAATTTGTTTACATTAAAATATGTAAATAATTGTTAACACAATTTTTCATATTTTTCCAAAATTTTCAAAAATTAAAAAAAAATTATTTGTACTGTACCAATACAGTAATTAATTTTTATTGTGATTTATTTTTTTTTACAATTTCTCCATTCGTGATTAAAGTGATTTTTTGACTCAAGGACATTCTTCACATAGTTACTGACGGAAAAGTTCAGAGAAGTGAGAGGAACGCTAATGTGTGCAGTAAAGCTAGCAATTGTTTTTCTCATGCGGATGTACTCACATACATGCTTTTAAGCACACTTTATCCCCTCTTTCTAAATTTATTTGGAAACCAAATTGTGGGTCTATTTAAAAATTCGATAGGTATATATAAAAATAATCTTTTGTACCTCAAAAATTGGGAGATTCCTACAAATCATATGAATGCCAGTTATTGTTATTTTTTCATAAGGTTACATGTTAAATATCGATTTTTTAGAATGTAACATGCATA